TAACATCAGGCTTCGCTCTTTACGTTGCACTCTGTATGGGTTTTGACCAAGGCACAATGTGGTACATCCACCATTCCAGTATCATACAGAAAATGTACTCTGCCCTACACATCCCCTCCGCTTCACCTGTTCATCCCTCCCTTTGTTTTCCTGAACCCCTGAAACCACTGATTTGTTTCACTCTCTCTAGTTTTGCCTTTTCCAGAATGTCGTATAGTTGAAATCGTACAGTATGCAGTCTTGTCTCCTGACTTCCGTACTTAGCAGTAATGCATGTACATTTCCTCCATGTCTTTTCGTGGCTTGATAGCTCGTTTCTTTGTATCTATGATAAGATCCCATTGTGTGGGCACGTACCAGAGTTGCCTACTTACCTGTCGGAGGACATCTTGGTTGCTTCAGTTTGGGCAATTATAAATAGAGCTTCCATAAATGTCTGTGTGTAGGTTTTTGTGTGGATGTCATTTTCAACTCATTTGGATAAATACTAAGGTGAGCAACTGCTGGGCCATACGGTAAGACTATGTTTAGCTTTGTAAGAAGCCACCAAACTTCGGTGTCTGTACTAATTTGCATTCCCAGCAGCAATGAAGGAAAATTCCTGTTGCTCAACATCCTCATGGGGTATTTGGTGTTGTCAGTGTTTTGGATTTTAGCTCTTCTAATAAGTGCATAGTAGTATCTCATTGTTTTTCAATTTGCCATTCCATAATGACACAGGATGCAGAGCATCTTTTCATATGCTTATTTGCCATTTCTGCTCCAGGTTTAACTATAAGCTTAGGTGATGCTTTCTGCGGGAAGGCTACTTTCCCCCATTGTATCAGATAGCCTTGCTGTGTAAGGCGTGATTTCAAAACTCAGTAGGTTAAAACAATGTCCACACATCTGTCAGTATTCTGGGGTTTAGCTGATTGCAGTGTGGTGGGACTGGGGCTGTTCTGCGTCTCACTGTGGGCAACCAGCTCTGCTGGGATGGCTCTGCTCCACATGCCTCACACCTTTGGATCACTGTAGCACAAATTAAAAAATATATTTTGATAAATATGTTTCCATATAATTGGTTTCCTTTGTAAACATTGGTATATTATTCTATGCATTTTTTAAACAGATTATTTATTTGAGAGCGAGCATGAGTCGGTTGGGGGGTGGGCAGGGGCAGAGGGAGAGGGAGAAGCAGACTCCTTGCTGAGCAGGGAACCCTACCCAGGGCTCCATCCTAGGACCCTGAAGTCATGACCCAAGCCAAAGGCAGACGCTTAACCAACCCAGGTGCCTCTCTCTGCATTTTAAAATATTATTTTGAGAGGGGGCTTCTCCAGGTGGTCAGAGGCATTCTTAAAACAGAAGGTTAAGAAATTCTGGTCTAAGGCACATGACGCAACCTTGAGTATACTCCTGAGAAAGGGGAAGGAACAGACAGAGGCATCACACAAGGGGAACTGGTTAATTAAACTTGGTTGTATCTTTACAACAGGATATCATGAGGGAAAGAAAAACTTTATTGTAGAAGAATAATAAAATAAAACATTCAAAGTATAATATTCAGTGGAAAAAGGAGGTTATAAAATAATATGTACAGTGATATCTAATTTTTGTAATAAGAAAAGCATGAAATATACATGTGTTAATATATACATATGAAAGTCTCAGAGGATATTTACCTAGCTGTTTTTTGTTTTTTTTAAGATTTATTTGTCAGAGAGAGAGAGAGTGAGCACAAGCAGGGGGAGCTGCAGAGGCAGAGGGAGAAGCAGCCGCCCCGCTGAGCAGGGAGCCCCAGTGCAGGGCTCGATCCCAGGACCCTGGCATCATGACCTGAGCTGAAGGCAGACGCTTAACTGACTGAGGCACCCAGGCGTCCCACCAAATTGTTAATAGTAGTTATATCTAAGTGGTCTTGGGATAATGGTGATTTAATATTTTTTCTCTGCTCTTGTTTTTTCATTTTCTGCATTAAATATGATTATTTTTATTTTTTAAGGACTTTATTTATTTGAGAGAGAGCGAGAGTGCACAAGTAGGGGGAGGGGCAGAGGGAAAAGCAGGCTCCCCACTGAGCAGGGGGCCCCCAATGCGGGGGGCTTGATCCCAGGACCCATCCCAGGACCCAATGCAGGGCTCGATCCCAGGACCCTGAGATCATGAACTGATCCAAAGGCAGAGGCTGAACCGACTGAGCCAGCCAGGTGCCCCTAAATTTGTATTATTTTTATAAGATATAAACCACATTAAAAGCTCTTTTTAATTTTCTTTTTTTTTTTTTAAAGATTTTATTTATTTATTTGACAGAGAGAGACATAGTGAGAGCAGGAACACAAGCAGGGGGAGTGGGAGAGGGAGAAGCAGGCTTCCCGCAGAGCAGGGAGCCCGACGTGGGGCTCGATCCCAGGACCCTGGGATAATGACCTGAGCCGAAGGCAGACGCTTAACGACTGAGCCACCCAGGCGCCCCTCTTTTTAATTTTCTTAATCAGTCTTCTTGAAGTATAATTTACACACAATAAAACTCACTACTTTTAGGTGTACAATTCGGTAAGTTTTGACAAAAATATACAGTCGTGTAACCACGGCTGTCACCAAGTCATAGGACACTCCCAACACCAAAAAAATGAATAAATAAAATAAATAAAATGAAGGAGAAGAAGAAGAAGAAGAAGAGGAATAATTCCCTTGGGCCTTTTACCTCTTCCCACCTCTAGGAACCACTGATCTCCTTTTGGTCACTATAGTTTTGCCTAAGTTACTTATTAAAGAAAATAAACAATTGATCAGATGCTTAGAGAAGTTAGATAAGTTGCCCAATGTTGTTGCCTCCTCCAAGAGGCCTTCTTTTTTTAAAATTTATTTATTTTATTTATTTGAGAGAGGGAATGAGCGAGAGAGCACGAGAGCGGGGAGGGTAGAGGGAGAAGCTGACTCCCTGCTGAGCAGGGAGCCCGATGCGGGACTCGATCCTGGGACCTGGGACTCCAGGATCATGACCTGAGCTGAAGGCAGTTGCTTAACCAACTGAGCCACCCAGGCGCCCCTCTAAGAAGCCTTCTTGGATTTCTGCCTCTCTATCCTCTTTCCTCCCCACCCCTCCCCACCTCACCCAGTGTGTCAGTCCTTGTATGCTGAACCTATGATATGTTCAGTAATCACTGATTCACACTTGTAACTTCCGTAAGTGTACAAATGCTTCTTAAGGGCAGGGACTCCACCTTACTCACCTCTCAGACTTGTACAGCAGCAATAAGGCCAAGGAGCACTCACTGGGTGCTGGGTGTATGCTAAACCCTTTACTTACAGCAATTCTATCTTCCTAGCAATCCTGCAGCAGTGGGTTAAGTGTCTGCCATCGGCTTGGATCATGTTCCTGGGGGGCTGGGATCCAGCCCCCAGTCAGGCTCCCTGCTCAGTGGGGAGTCTGCTTCTCCCTCCCCTCTGCCCCTCCCCACCACTTCTGTGCTCTCTGTCTTTCTCTCAAATAAATAAATAAAATCTTTAAAAAAAAAATCCCGTGAAAGTGATGGTAAAATTCCTTACATTTAACCGATGAAGCAAAGGAAGCTCAGAGAGGTTAAGCAACTCATCTAAGGCCACACAGTAAGTGGCAGAGCTGGAACCTGAACCAGGTCCCTCTGTGTCCAGAATTTGTGCACTCAATCACACTGCATATACTACCGTCTATAATGGTCAGACCCACAGGAGGTAGGAGGTAAGAAGTATCTGTTGAATGAATGGCTGAATGGGGTGACATACAGCTTTAGCAGGGCTCCAGCAGAGATTCAGACACTGATCTTTTTTCCACAGCCCTCTGGGTGCTCAGGACAGACACCTTTTGCCTTCTTTGTCAGCTCTTGACCATCTTCCAGCAAACTCCCCCTTCTTTGGGCTCCTGAAGCCTCGGGTAGGCAGCGGGGGCCTAGAGGAACCAGTAAAGGGGAGCTATGCAGGCCAGTTCCCACGGGGCACAGCACTCCCTTTAACCCGTGACTTTAGCTGGACCACTTTCCAGCTGCCCAGCTGACCCTTTCCTGGGACCATACTATCTGCTGTCTGAGAATCTTCTCACCCAACCCTCCCCCAAGAGTCAGGCCTGCCTTCCCTGGCTCCCCCTCCTTTTCCCCTCAAATCCTGTCTTGCTGTCTGCTTCTCAGAGGACCCGAACTAACCGGGGGTAACAGTGACACATCCCAGGAGCGTGGTCATGAAGGCCCTGCACACAAAGGAATATGTATAAGCGCTGAGAGTAGCGCCTGGCACTTGGTAATTGCTCAGTGGAAGTTCACTCATTCACAGGCATTTACTCATGCCTGCTGTGTGCCCTGACGGCTGGGGTTGCGGAGATGAGTAAGACCTAGCCTCTGCTTTCAAAGAGGTCACAGCCTCTTGGAAGAGGTAAGCCGAAAACAGCCAAGAAATCAAGCGCACAATGTAGGGGTGGGGGGTGAGCATTCTGGAAATGATCTCAGGGGAGTAATTCAGGAGAAGCAAAAAGCTGCAAGCATGAGGATGCTCCGGTCTCTTTCCACCACGCACAATCTGTCCTGCATCCGGGAGTCACGGGAGTCCCTCAAAGCCCAATGTGACTGCACCCTCCCCCAGCTGTCTGGCACCTGGAGGCCACCCGGACTCCTACTGAGGTTCACACCCCGCCGCTGGGCCGGCCCCTGCCCCCTGCCCCAGTTTTGGCTCACCCTCACCAACACTCGGGCCAGATGGACCATCGCACCAGGCTTTATCTGGGCCACCTTCTTTCTCTACCAGCTCTTGCTCCTGACAGGACCCCTGCCTGGAACACCCTTTCCTTCAGTGTCATGTGACCACCTCCTCCACATCTTTCAGGCATCAGGGGTCACTTCTTCCAGGAAGCCCTTCCTGATTTCCTAAGTCTGAGGTAAGTGGCCCTCGTCTGGGTCCCCTAGTCCCATCCTGGCACTTGTCACACTGCTCTGCTAGATCCTGGTTTCTCGTCTGTTTCATCTGACTGTGAGCTGAGGACAGGGACCATGTTTGCACTTTTAAATTTTTTATTATGAAAGATCTCAAACATATACAGAAAAAGGACACAGCAGCACCAAGAAACCCTGTAAGCCCATCAGCCCAGGTTACACAGATTTTGTCCCACTGGCCCCAGCTCTCCCGTTTTCTTTTTTCTATTTGCTAAAATAAAGCAAATAATTCCCCTCCCCCTATATACTTCATTGTGCTTCTCTAAGAAATTCAATAAATAGTTTTTAAACCCATAAATGACTGTTTGTTGCAGAGCTATCTGTAACAGCCCCCCAGTGGAAACAAGCTTATTAGCGAACATCTGGAAATGAGAGTGTATCCAGTCAAAGGACTATGACACCTCCATTAAGATGATCAATATGAAGACCACACAGCCACATGGCAAAACATTTGCACCAGGAAAAATCCAGAAAGGCAAAGAGCCGGGTGCCAGGTGGTCTCTGCGCTCTCCTTTGGCAGCCAGGGTTCACCGGCCTGGGGTCCCAGCCAGAACGGAGAAGGTGAAAAGGAAGGTGGGCGTGCAGATGGTGGGATACCCTTCAAAACATTCTTCAGCGTCCTTAGTGTCATCTTTCAAAGCTGCGATCTGCAAACCAGGGTCCCGGCAGCCACCGAGAAGCCGCACGAGAGACCAATAGAGCTGCCTGGAGCGCAAAAAGAGAAAGCCTCGCTGCAGACCCTATGACACGGGGCCTCTGCGACCTTCCGTGCCCAGCCCTCTTGGCCTCCGTGCTGCGCGGCTGGGTTTTCCTCTGCATTCTGGGGTTTGGAAGAGTCATGGTGCAGGGGCACAGAATGATCTGATGTTCTGGGCCATGTATACACTGCACAGCGCACTGGGACCCTGGTGCCTGCAGGTCAGCCCTTCCACCTGGGCTCTGGTGAGAGGGCCTGGAGCTCTCTCTGGCTGTTTAAGTGGTTATCAAGGTCAGTAGCTGTGGTATCTTTGCTCCTCCTCTGGCTTGTTGGATTGACTGCAAAGCCCCAGTGTGAACCACAGGGCTGTCCTGGGGAAAGCAGGATCCACGTCACAACCTGGTGCCCCGGCACTCTGTCCCCAGAGGAGAAGGGGAACTGTCCATAGCAGATTTCCCTGTCTCACTGATGTGGAGAATAAAGGCAAAAGGAATATAGAAAAAATTAAATTTCCTTAGCAGCCCATTGACAAGTACTTGGGACAGACAGAGTGACCTTCTTGAGCTGCCTCCCTGTAAATACTTTGCTGGAGGCAAAAGGCCACCTTAGCTGGACATTAGCCCAATCTCCAGGATCCTGTAAAAATCCCTTTGGAAACTTCCTTTCTTTCAACAACCGCCCCCCCCCCCCCCGCCCCAAGATAGACATTACCAATCATCCTCCAAGCATATGGCTCCCTGATATACATCTGAAGGGTCTCATGAGTAAGGTTTTACTAGACAGTAGTAAATGACCTTTTTTAAACAACGGCTAGCCCCTCAAGGTCCTGAAAACCTTGCTTCCAAATTCCTTAGAGATTTACGCTATCCCTAACCCCCTCTTCCCAACTTGAAAGTCTATAATGGGCCACTCCTCATGACCCCAGTGCGGCTCTTTCTGCCCCCAGGTCCTGTCCCCATGCTTTCATAAAACCACGTTTTTTGCACCAAAGATGTCTCAAGAATTCTTTCTTGGCCATCGGCCTCCAGACCCCTCCAATACAGCAACATTCCAAAACTACATCACCTGGAAAACCAGACCAGAGGAATTTTGGAAGGAGGACCCACCAGAGTGGATTATTTAGGCGGTCAGGTGTGGAAAGAGGAGTTGGGGTGGGGAGCGGAAGCCCCAAGTCATAGTCCCAGCTCCCCTCTAGTCACTTGGGGACCTGGGGACAGATGGCCTGTCCCCCAGCTGCCTCGTCTACCAACGTATCTATTCAGCTCTGCCTCTTCAATCAATTAGGTGCCACACACATTTGCTGAGCTGTTTCTCTGGAGCCTGTGAGGAGACCAAGGGCTGAACTGCCACAGTTCCTACCCTCAGGAAGGCCTCTGCAAACAACAAATATAACTTTATTTATTTAGATTAAGATTTTATTTATTTATTTGACAGAGAGAGAGACAGCGAGAGAGGGAACACAAGCAGGGGGAGTGGGAGAGGGAGAAGCAGGCTCTCTGCTGAGCAGGGAGCCCGACGTGGAACTCGATCCCAGGACCCTGGGATCATGACCCGAGCCGAAGGCAGACGCTTAACGACTGAGCCCCCCAGGCGCCCCTTTTTAAATTTTTAAAAAAGGTTTTATTTATTTATTTGAGAGAGAGGGAGAAAGCACAAGCAGGGGGAGGGGCAGAGGGAGAGGGAGAAGCAGGCTGGGCGATGTAGGGCTCAATCCCAGGACCCTGGGATCATGACCTGAGCTGAAGGCAGATGCTTAATGACTGAGCCACCCAGGTGCCCCTATAAGTGTGATTTTATTTTTTTATTTATTTTTATTTTATTATTATTTTTTTTATAAGTGTGATTTTAAACTGACTGAGGGAGCAATTCTTGGGATGTGAATAAAAAAAAACAGTTTCCGGGAAGGACTTTGATTTGATAGGAATCATGAAGAGAAGTTCACCAGGTAGTCAAGTGGGAAAGGAGCTGCAAAGATGGGGGAAGGGAACCACGAGGTTGTCTGGGGGCCTTCAAGCAGTTAGCCCAGGTTGGGCAGTGAAGGGTGTTGGAGGGTCTGCTGACCTCGCAGGGCTGCCAGCAAAGGCCTTGGAGTCTAACACCAGGGTGTTTTTATCTACAAGAGCGGAAGACTTGTGACCACAAATGCGTGTGCATGGCGGGCAGCTCTTCCATTCTCCGTGGATAGCAACCGGGTGCCCTGTAATTCACTCCATTCTAACGGCACCCGGAGGTAGCACCAGACCCCCCAGGTTAAGGGCTGAATTCCATGAGACTGCTCCCTATTTTGGAAGTCTGTCGTATGTGGTGGGTCCCCAGGCCACCCCCACTTCTGTCTGATTTGACTACAAATCAGGGATCCTCATGACCCCCTCCTCAGGGTCCATGATTTTTTTGTATAAACACCTCACAGAACTCAGGGAAAGAGTTACTTTGCTGATTTATTTAAAAAGGCTATTATAAAAGATACAAATGAACTGCCAGATGAATAGGTACATAGGGGGAAATCTGGAAGGGTCCACAGAGCGCAGGAGCTTCTGGGCCCATGGAGTTTGGGGTGTGCCACCATCCCAGCCTGTGGATGCATTCAGCACCCCAAAAGCTCTCCAAACCCCTTTGTTCAGGGTTTTGTGGAGGTTCCATTGCACAGGCATGATAGATTAAATCATTGGCAATTGGTGATTGACTCAGTCCGACACCCCCTCCTCTCTGCCCCGCCAAGAAAGTGGGGGCGGGAGTGGCTGAAAGTTCTAACCCTCTAATCCCATGACTGGATCCTCTGGCAACCCGTCCCACCTGAAGTTACCTAGGGCCTTCCAGCCACCAGTCATCTCATAAACTCCAGGATGGCTGAAGGGGCTTTCGGTGAATAACAAAAGATGCCCCTATCACTTCCATAACTCGGAAAGTTCCAAAGCCCTGCCAGAAGCTATGAGGATGACCAAATATTATATCAAAGGATGCTGGTGGAACCCCTATCATTCAAGGATTTGGAAGCCAAGGACCAGAGGTGAAGACCAGATGTATATTTCTCATCATATCACAACATCACAGAGTCACTGGACCTGGATTCGAATCCAAACATCTACCTGTTGGGTGACTTGCTGAACTGGAGTTTCCTGTTTTATAAAATTAAGGATGATTGTGGGCGCCTGGGTGGCTCAGTTGGTTAAGCGACTGCCTTCGGCTCAGGTCATGATCCTGGAGTCCCGGGATCGAGTCCCGCATCGGGCTCCCTGCTCAGCAGGGAGTCTGCTTTGCCCTCTGACCCTCCCCCCTCTCATGTGCTCTCTCATTCTCTCTCTCTCAAATAAATAAATAAAATCTTTAAAAAAAAAAAATTAAGGATGATTGTAATACCAGGTTGGAGTGAGAAATAACTATGATGAAAAAGCATCTGGCAAGTGTCTGGCATACAGAGGCACTCAGGGTACGTTTATTATCTTTAAAAAAAAATGAAACTGTGGGGCGCCTGGGTGGCTCAGTCGTTAAGTGTCTGCCTTCGGCTCAGGTCATGATCCTGGGGTCCTGGGATCGAGCCCCGCATCGGGCTCCCTGCTCCATGGGAAGCCTGCTTCTCCCTCTCCCACTCCCCCTGCTTGTGTTCCCTCTCTCACCATGTCTCTGTCAAATAAATAAATAAAATCTTCTAATAAAAATGAAATTGTAATTTGAATGTAACAAACATCAGCACTTACCACAGGGCAGGTCTTTCCACGGCATCTCATTTAATCCTTGCAGTCTGCCAAGTAGATTGTCACCCCCATTTTACAGAGGACACTGAGGCTCAGGTGGCTTGTTCAAGGTCACAGAGGTGAAAGTATATGGGGTTGGGATTAGAATGGAGTGGGCTGGGCTCCAAATCTTGAATCCTTCCAGACTCTTCTTCCTCAAAAAACTGTCTGGCCCCTCCCAGTCCCCTTTGTGGCACAGACTCTTCATAACCTCCTAGTATCCAAGTCTCAGTCCTTCTTTAGTGACGGAAACTATAGCTGGGCACACTGGAGCTTAGTCCAAAGCCTGCATTTCCTTACCTCCCTACAGCTAAATGTGGCCATAGGGCTAGTTTATAGCCAATGAGATGTAAGGAGAAACATCAGGTGGAACTTCTGGAAGTCTCCTTAAAAGGAAAGATTGCTTGCAAGTAAATGTTTAATTAAAAAAAAAAAAAAAAAGAGGACGAGAAGTGCCATCTTTTTCCCTTCCTCCTTCCTTCCTGCTGGCTGAACTCAGACAAAATAGCTGGAGTTCAAGCAGTCATCCTGGGCCACATGGAGCTATGCTGGCAGGACAAGATGGTGAGTTACCATCCTAGACCTAGATGGCCTCCCATTCCCTCTTCCAAATTGTCAGCTCTTCTCTGGTAAGTCTTTTCTTCAGCATTTAAACAAGCTCAAGTTTCTCCCAACCTAAAAGAAAAACACACTTAATTTCATGTTCCCTTCCCTCTCTCTTCCTCTTCACAGCCCACCAGCCGGGAATAACTGCCGATTCTCAAGGTCTCCATGTCCCCATATCCCAACCGTTCCTCAACTCACTGCATCTGGGTTTCTGTGCTACCTTCCTACCTGAATTGCCTGGGCCAAGGACCTCTGGATAGCTAAACCTAGTGGACTTTGTTCAGTAATCTTCTACCTAGAGCTGAAACTGTTGCCATTGCCTTCCTCACCCTGGGTTCTTTTTTTTTTTTTTTAATATTTTATTTATTTATTTGACAGAGAAAGACGTAGCGAGAGCAGGAACACAAGCAGAGGGAGTGGGAAAGGGAGAAGCAGGCTTCCCCGCGGAGCAGAGAGCCCGATGTGGGACTCGATCCCAGGACCCTGGGATCATGATCTGAGCCGAAGGCAGACGCTTAACGACTGAGCCACCCTGGGTTCTATGTGCCTCTGCTCCCCAGCCTCTCCAGCCCCTCCTGCTCCTTCACTGTGTTCTTCTCTCGTCCACTCCATCTCAGGACTGATCTTTTTCTTGCATGTGTTAAAAGCACCTAAACTCAACATGTCCAAGCTGAACTCAAGGTCATTCATTCCCTTCTCCCTCCCCCCAAGATTTTCTAGCTGTTCTTTCCAGAAATCTAGGAGAAGCTTTGACAAACCTCTTTCCACCATCAATCCCAACCAATCCATGACTCAAACTCTGACAATTTCATCTCCTAAATAAAATCCATCGACTTGGCAGTGGCACCAGACTCAAACTACTATCATCTCTTGCCTTGAGCTAACACAACAGTCCCTTAATTGATCTTCACTCCAATACTCCTAAACATCTGTTTTGGACATAGAAGTCAAAGGCATCTTTTACCAGTGGGATCATGTCGCTGGCTTGCTCAGAAGTCAACGACTTTCCTTGGTCCACCACATGAATTGCTCAACTCCAGCCTGGAGCAAGCAAGGTCAGAACTCAGCCCACAGCCCTTTATCTCACTTCCCCTCCACCTCTGTTCCAGCCTTCTGTGACACGCATGCTTCTTGAACCCACACTCACGCTCCCTTTTCTCGTGCCTGGGCACTAGCTGTCTCCCTCGGCCTGGCGTGCCCTCCACTCCCATGCCACATCCATAAATTTCTCTTCCTAGCATTTAGCCCATCTCGAAATGATTTATGTATGTAAACGATGTCCTCCCCAATTAAAACATGAGCTTTCTGAGGGTGTCCTGCTTGCTGCTTCACCCCATAGAGCCGGGCATGGCCACCCAATGAATATTTATCGAGTGAATGAATAATTCACCGGACCCCACGCCCAAAGTGTCCATAAAGAACGCAAATCCGGCGTCTTAGGAGCCCCACCTGAAAAGCATCCTGGAGAAAATGCGCAAATAAAATGGGCGAGAGGCAATCATTTAGGGAGGCCCTCCCTTTTCCTCCCGCCAGAGAAAACTGCGGAAGACAGCGCCTGCGCAACACTCCTCTACGGCCCCATCCCACTTTGGCCGTGGGGTGGCGCTGTACGCGCGCTCCCTGGCGCCCGAACCTCCCGGCCGGCTTCAGACCGCTCTAGCCGCCCTTCTCGCCTGCTCTGCTGGGAGCGGGCGCACCCGCGGGGGGTCCCTCCAAGATGGCGGCGCAGAGGAGGAGCCTGCTGCAGAGTGTGAGGAACCGACCCGCTCTCCGGGCTGGGGGTTGGGAGCCCAAGGGGGGCCTGTCGGGTGCAGGCGCGGCTCCCTCTCCGCCGTTGGGCCGCCTCCTTCTCCCTGGCGAGGTGTGGCCGCCGCCCTCCCCTCTCCCGGGCCGGCCCCCCTCACTCCCGAGGCCGGGGGCGCGTGCGACCGCGCGAGGTCCGCGCGTGCGCGCTGCCGCCCGGTCGTCGGGGGCTGGGATTCGCGGTCCAGCGACCCCGAGCGTCAAGGGCGCGTCGAGAGTGGGGAGCGTCCTGGAGCCGGAAGGGAACGTGGCGCGCTGCGGCGGAGCTAGCCGGGGTGGTGAGGCCACCCGGGGCAGCGAGCGGCCGTGGCATAACAACAGTTACAGCCGCGGCAGCCGCTTGTGGGCCGCTTGTCATCTCCCGGGTTTTCTGCCGGTTGCCTTACGTTGTAAGCTTAATTTATCTAACAGCCCCGGGAGGTAGGGTCTACAGTTATTCCTGTTGGACGGGTGAGAATCGGAGGCACAGAGGGGTGGTCATTCGCCCGAGGCCACACAGCTAGTAAGTGGCAGCGTCAGGATTGAAGTCAGGCAGTCTGATTCCAGAAACCCTGTTAACCTCTTGGCGCCACGGGAAGGCGTGGCCGGAGTGGCGGCCCGGGTTCTCGTCCTGGCTCTAACGCACGGTGCCTCAGTTTCCTTGACTCCAAGGTGAGAGCAGGCAGTAGGAGGATTGTCCTGAGACTCACTCTTACCCCCTAGTCTGGACCCCCATGGGTTTGTCGCTGGTGTCTTACAGCCTCTGCATCCTCCTGACACACGTGCACATGGATGCGCACACATCTTGGCGCCATGAGCCTGTTCTGACCTGCCAGGGTAGGGTGTGGGACCCCTGGGTCCTCCGCAGATGGGGCAGTCTGTTGTGCTTGCCTGTGCACTTGTCTGCCTCCTGTACTTGTGATCCACAATGAACAGCATCGCCAGCACTTACCACCATTCGGTGCCAGGCACTCAATAAATATTTGTAAAAAAGCATTTGTAGACATGTCCAGGGCTTGGCCTTGGCCTTAAAGATACAGCAGACACTGGCAGGGATGACCGTCAGTGCTGTATACTGATGACAAGCTTCGTGTAGACTTTCTTCTGAAATTGCTCTTCCACGACAGCAATTCCCAGGTTTCCCCAGTGGGGATTGCTCTCTTCCCTTCCACACCTTTAACTGCCCTTTTATTTTACTAGTGCTCAGCCTTGTCATCGAGTTAGGTAGGGCCAGCCCTTTGCTTTGTAAGCTTCCAAAGGGCAGGGCCCCTGTATAAATTTACTCATTGTAAAAATTCCAGAAATACAGGCTGGACTGTAGTGAATGCTGGAAGTGGTAACTGCTGTGGGCCGACTCGACTTGCTGAGGGGAGTGGCTTCCAGCGACCGTCTCTTCTGGATGTGATGGAGCCCAGGGGACTCGGGTTAGACAGAAGCTTTGCTAGCTCCAGAATGTGGTCCTGGGTGGAAATGGAATCTTTTCAAGACAGGACAATTAGCTTTAGGTGCATAGCATCATGACGAAAGGCAAGGGGATGGCAGTGATGTCCACACAAGGCCCCTCCCACCCTAAGGATGACCAGACGTCTCTGCCCACAGGGTGTCTGAGTGTCCAGGCAGCGTGTGTAGCTCACTGGCCTGCTCTCCACTGTCCTGAGTCTGGTAAGAGCAGCTCAAATATCAGCATTGAGCAGATGGCCATGAGGGTCCCTAGTCTGTGGTTGCAGAGCCTGGGGATACAAAGATAAAGAGGGTGGGTGCGCACCCTCACTGCATTTGCAGCGTGGGGGAAGGAGCCATCAACCACTAACAATGCGTAAGGCACTCTGTCGTCAGTGTTGAGGGGTCGTGGGTGGCCTCATTTGACTGGGACAGTGGAGGTTTGCAGGAGGGATGGGGATTTGCTGACAACATGGTGCTAGGAGGGTGTGCTGGGGCCAGCTGGCAGAGCACTGAGGAGTTTCACCTTTGGTCCCTAGCCAGCATGGTACCTTAAAAGGTCTTTTGAAGAAAAGAAGAGCTTTTGAAGGTAGCTTGATGTGTTCAAGGGAACTTGGGCCCTTCGCAGCCTAACAAAAAGTACAAGTCCCATATGGACTTGGGCAAGTCACTTAACATCCCTGAACCTTGGTTCCCAACAGAAAGGACTCTCAGGAGCGTTGTTAGGATTAAATAAACTAACGCATTACTGTCCTAGCCCAGCCTGGTCACGGTCCAGCCATGAAGTTCCACCTTCAGTTCTGAGCATTCAGGTGTCACTGAGCACTTGCTATGTGGCAGATGCTGTGTAGGTACAGGGGACACTTTCCTCATGAAGCCTCTGTTCTAATAAGGGAGACAGTCACAATGAGTAAATACAGATTGTAAACAATATAATATCTGTAGCATCAGTTGGTGCTGTGAGGAACAATAGTCTGGATTCATAGAATGGTGGACGGGCCGTTTTAGAGTGGTAGGGGACGACCTCTCAACATTTGATGGGATGAAGTAGGGGATTTGGGAGGGAGTATTCTGCTTGAGGGAATAGGGATGCAAAGGCTTTTGTGTTTGGGGACCACCAAGGAGGCCAGCGTGGCTGGAGTAGAGTGCATTGGGGGGAGTGGGGGTAGCCAAGGTTCAAGGGACCTTTGTGGACCCTGGTGTGGACTTTGGATTCTACTCTATGTGCTGTGAAACTCAGTGGTTTTTAGGAAGGGCTGTATTTTGGAGGAAGAGCTGATAGGATTTGCTGGTGGATCAGATGTGGGGTGCGTGACTGAGGAAGAAGAGTCAAGAAGGACTGCAAGGTTTTCAGTTGGAACAACAGCAGTGCCCTTTACTGAGATTAGGATCTCTGGAAGAGGAACACATTTGGGGCTGAGAGAATCAAGAGTTTGGTGTTGCCTATGCTATTCTGTACTTAATTATAAAAAGAAAGTCAACTTGAAATTAATTTTTTTAACTTAGAAATCTTGAGCAACTACATCTACAAGATCACAGGTGCTGGCTCTGTATTTTTTCTAATATATGTAGTAAATGCCCCCATTAAAATAAAAACATCCATGAGGCCATCACGTACAACCATCTCCTCCGCCGTCAGAATGTGGCCCAGCTGCTTCAGCCACAGTAAGTGCTCCACAATTATTAGTAGCCCCTTTAAGAATGTATTAGGACTATATTTGTGATGAAAACATAGAGAGCCTTTGATGAAAACCCTGCTGGGAGAGGTGGGGGCCAGGAGTTGAGCTGGTCCCAGAGGAGTGGGGAAGGAAAAGGGGGTCATTCAGAAGGACCGAGATGGCAGGAGGCACTGGGTATTTTAAGCTTTTTGGAGAGAAAGAACAGCTGCCCCCCCGCCCCCACCCTGAGCCATCTTCCTGGGGGCATTATTCTCTCATTCTGAGCTTCCTTTTTGCCTCCAAGGAATTCGGGTGCTTTCAGCACAAAAACACTCAGCCTTTTCATACTATAATTTGATATTCAAGCTGTGGCCTGAACTTGGAACCATGCTTTGTCCACTTTTGCTGCCCAGGAGTTTGAGATGAATCTCTGTGGGGACTGTTACAGACTGTTATTCTGTGACATGGTCACATATGTGTATGAGGTTGCTAAAGGGTATGGGCATACGGAGGTTGTAATACCGTTCACCACTTCGGTTGCAACTGGATCGCTATCAATACTTTTCATACCAAAATACGAATTTTGGGAGCTCCCTCACACAATCAAGTCAAAATTAGGCTTTTTTTTTTTTTTTAAGATTTTATTTATTTCAGAGAGTGAGTGAGAGAGAGAGCAAAGCAGGGGAGAGAGGCAGATGGAGAGGGAGAAGAAAGCTTCCCGCAGAGCAGGGAGCCCCACGCGGGGCTCGATCCCAGGACCCTGAGATCATGACCCGAGCCGAAGAAGGCAGACACTCAACCGACTCGGCCACCCAGGCGCCCCAAAATTCGGCATTTCGAAGCAGCCTTCTTGCTTACCCTATTTTGTGTTCAATTTCTGAGAAATAATTTGGAACTCATCAGAGAAGGTGGTGCAGGCTCATTGTGGCGTGTATTTATGCAGCTCTGTGACGAGGCTATGTGAGCGCGAGGCGCCCCCTTCTCGGCTCCGGGTGCGGGCGCTGAGGCGCCCATCGCCACTGCTGCTGGCAGGCCTGGCATTTGTGGGCGTGGGAGGAAGTATGCATCAGTGCGTGCAGGGGTGAGGAAGGGGGTGGTTTGTGTGAATAGGAAATACATGACCTTTCTGAAAATTGTTCCAGAAATGTGGAGGAAGGAAGCAAGAGACTTGGCAGTGGGGTGGAATCAGCGGGGGAGGGTTGGTGTGGCTAATCCCCAATGGAGGGGAGAGAGCTGGGGCAGCAGGATGGCTGCTCACCCAGCCACAGCAGCGTCAGAGCGATTTTGGGGCCATTGCTGACGTCAGGGAAGACCGAGGACTCTCCCACTCCCGCCTGGGCAGAACCTCCTGGAATTCTCTGGCCACTTGCCATTGAACGTCTGAGGTGCTGTGGGGACTGCATTCTAGGCAGGGCCTCCCACTGAAGGAGCACTCATAACTGTATGAGAAATTGTCCATATATCTTTGGATCCAAGACACCATTAATTATAAGGACCCGTCATTATTTTATATGCTACTAAGAAAGAAAACACTTTGCTAATTAACGTGTAACACATCAGCTTCAGATATTAAAAGATTGAGAATACACGTCTTGGAATCAGCAAAATAAGTAGCTAATTAACAGTACTAGGCTATAAAAGAACAACAACACAACAACAACAAAACAGGGACCCCTGGCTGGCTCAGTCAGAAGAGCGTGTGACTCTTGATTTCAGGGTCGTGAGTTTAAGCCCCACGTTGGGTGTAGAGATTGCTTAAATGAATAAAC